TGTGATAGGCCTACATTCCCATCCATTGCGAAATACCTTCTGAAGGTAATAAAGTTAATTTGCTGTTATTTTTTGTGATCTTGATGATATTGTAGAAAGCCACCCGTAATTCAGTTCAGTGTTGAAATTTACCGCCAACGAAGTAAGGAGCACAACAAAGCTCGTTCTGTATCACGTCCTGTTGTACAGTCCATACATATCATATAAGAACTTGATAACAATGGCAACAGCTTTTTCACTTCAATCACTTGTTCTTTTCGCAGCACACGAGGGAACAATTCCAAGATAGCTTCGAACAAGTTTCCTTCATCCACAACGCGGCGAGAGAAGCTAGTCGGTATGAAAGGCATGCAGAGAAATACGTTCTAAAAAAAAAGAAAAAAAAATATCGAAATACGGTCCCAGGACAAGTTGAAGCACTAACCAAGAATTATTGTTTAACTGGCATAGAAACATTTTTTTTTTTTTTTTTTTTTTTTGAAAATTTACCTAAAGCTGTTACAAAATTGACTAGAGCCTATATTATTGTGAGGAATCGACACAGTTTCAAATCATCCTACCTACTGCCATGGCTGGAGTGATATACTAATATTAGCGAGCTTCATATCTCTCAACAGTAAAATGATAGAATCCTTTCATTGCAGTTTTACACAACTGTTATAACAATATTTGCTTGTTGCGCCACAATTGCTGACTCCTATTCTTTGACCCATGTTCATAGGCATTGTTCCGGAAGTGAAGTCAGGCCGGGTTACATGGCCGAGGCGAGCCAGGAAGAGGATTCGTTCTATCACGACCTGAACAACACGTCTGATCTCAGTGACGAAGGTGAGTAGGACAAAACATAGATTCGTAATGCAAAAACACACGTGTCATATCGGAATGAAACACCCGCTTTAATTAGGAAAACGCTGCAGCGAAACGTTTTACTTCGGATCGAACTTCTTTTCGAATCGTATAATCGCAGTGGATCAGATTTTCTTTAAAGTTTTATCGTCTCTTGAGTTCAGTCGTAACAAAAGCGTCACGATTAAGCGTTTCTCTTAATACTGGGACTGCGTTGCAATGAACGAATTTAGTTAAAAAGACTAGACACTTACTGATTAGAATTAGGTCTTGTCTTTGTATTTCTTCTAATTTCCATTATAATCGTCGCAGTGTTGCCCACACCCACACACAATTTTTGTATCTTTATTTGAAATACATTAAACGAATTAAAGACTTTGAATACGCGAAGTACGATAACACGCTCTGCCATGTGTGTCGGGGATGAGGGCGACGGACAGCATGCTTTTAGAAGTGAAGAAATGTCAAATCTCGAGAGGAAAAAAGACTTAAAGGAGATCGTAATCACTACACTGGGCTCACAGTTATTGTAATAAATGTGGAAACAAATAGGAGTGCTATTTAAGAGAAATATTATTATCATATCATTCATTTTATACTTTAATGCGTTTGCCTGTGGTGATTCATATTCTACATTTTGCCATTTTTGTTTATATATGGATCTCCGTCTGTTATATGTAGGATATTTAGAATTGAGGTAAAATTTCGATATAACGAGTAATACAACATGCTTTTCCCTCCTGTGGTATAAACCGGATTACATAATTTGTAATTTAACAACCTCTTTCATATTGCGATTTTTAGCATCCATCCATTCTTCCCTTCTAATAGGCTGCTGTACAGATTGTGCGACATTTTCCCCCGTCTCTGTAGCCCCTGTTTTCCCACTAGGTTCGCTCGAGAAAGAGGCAGGCCGAGAGCAAGGACGACCCGACGCCCGGCCGCCCGCAGCTCGCACCCACGCCCTCCGCTGTCCTCGCCGCGCGCTGCACATCGCCTCCAGACTGCAGTCGTTTTCGCAGCATCGCTTCCCGAGCGCCTCCCCGCCCTCGCCTCAGTCAAGCGCCGCCGCTCCCCTCCTCGCTGTTGGGGAGAGCGCCGTCGTAGGGAGTGCCGTCGGGGAAAGCGCCGTCGGGTTGCGCGTCCCTCCTGTCGAGGTCTCGGTGCCGACGCCCTGCAACGGGTCCTCCGCGAGCCACCGGCCCCTGCCCCAGAGGGACGTTCACGTTTACACCAATTTCATCACCAGAGAGCTACCTCACGTTCCCCGCCACCAAGCAGCTCCCCCGTGGCCTGCGCGCTGCGGCTTCAGCCCTCGTGCCCAGGGGCGCTGCATGTGCCCCGCCGATCGCCTTTTCACAAGGGCAGGTTTAACCACCGGTCCTGTTCGGTCCGGAACTGATGGCGGGCCGCCTTGCCTCTCCTGCGCTACAATCGGACCTGCCGTAACTTTTTGCAAAAAAATCGTTACCCGCTGTACTTCCCCCTCGTCTGGGGCGCTGCTGGCTTCTCCTGGCGCGCTCGAAGCCCCGCCGATGGGCTACATGAGCGAGCCCCAGACCCCGGCGCAGCAGCTCCTGACCGCGCCCCCGCCCGCCGCGGCCAGCGCCCCCTCCAGCCCTTGCGGCTCTTCGTCCCGCGGAGCCGAGCCCTT